TATACAATTTTCCCGTAGATTCAACGGTTTAGGAGTAATTAAGGAAAAATGAAATTTTTTGCCAAAAGTTCGCCGTTTCGACGCTGGGATGATCGGATTTTGTCAACATCAATAAAATGCTAAATAATCATATGTAACTCATTAAATATCGAGGTTAGAAGAAAAACAACTTTTATTTGAAGCATTTTTCGAAATTTTGAAGAAAAAAATTTTTCGTCAGCGTCAATACTTAATTGGATATTTCCTTCTATACTTTTTAGCACGTAGCTATTTATTAATAGCAATATTCTTCCGACGTCTGATTTCTTCTTAATTATAGGAAATGCGTTTTTCTAAGGTACATAAACTTTTGGGATTGACTGTATAGCCAATACATCCTTAAACTTTGAGAATCATTTAAAAATCGTATACTGGCTGAAGAGATCTGAAATAATTCCTCAACATGCATCGAACCTATTAGAACATAGAATTTCTCCAGATCATTCCAATCGTTACGATTGTTACATGAATAATAAATCTTTCTAATGGTCTATAGCAAAAATGAATAAAAATGTGAACCTGTTTATGCGGAGGGTTTCGACCTGAGATTCTTTGGAAAATGGTCCACAGCACAGATTGGCGAGGAAGTAGATTCGGGAGATAAAGAGAGATAGATGGAGAACGGATATATGTGTGTGTGCATGCGCATGTGTGTGCGCGGATCGGAATAAAGTAGCGGTGTTAGTAGGTCACGCAGGCGTGTTTCTAGTCCCTCCAGCATCAGCCCCTTCTTCAGATAGCTTCTTCCATCCCCCAGTGATACCGTTATCATCTTCCTGATACCACAGACAAATTCCACGCAGGTAATAATCAATCGAAACTCGTACGTGAATCGTTCGAAAAGCGATTAGAATAGCTTGATTAGAAGAATAAATATTTTATTAACTTCCACTATTGTAACGGTTGATAAATAGAGAACGTTCTGTGGGCTAGGAAATGTATCTCCGAATTTTGGGACCACCACACGATTAGTTAACAGATTCTCAAACAGTCAGATTGACTAGAATATAATTAATTGCAATTTATAGTATTTATACTTCTGATCAACTGATTTGAATATTCATTAAATTAAAATAAAAGAGAACTTCGGAGTCTAAGATAGTTAGCTAGCTTTTAACTAGAATTGATGTAAATGATTAATTAAATTGTTAGCTTGGCGAATTAACAGATTTGATCGAAGATTTTAAAGGATGCACGATGAAGGGGAGGAAGGATCTAAGTCGGAGATGACCGGGCTGGATTTCAGTCCTGAGAATCGTTCCCTCCGGATTTAAAAACGAATTTCGTTCGTTCAGAATTAATTATAGAAACTGGGATTGGGAGGATGCGGTGGCTCCAGAGGATATTAATTCCATTCCAAATGGTTCAACTCATCGCTTGGTAATCGAAAATTACATTGAGTTTGCCAATACTTTCAATTTTATCGGAATTTTTCCCAACGGATCGTTCGTGATTAATTATGAATTTCCGTTAAAAGGGCAAGCGTGGAGAACACGCAATTGTCTGACAGGCTGGAGAACGTTACCCAAACAATCTCGAGGATACTCGATGGCTACGACATACGACTGAGGCCTAATTTTGGCGGTAAGACTCGATGAACATATACGACATTTTTTTTTAAATTACGTTCTTCTCCGAGACATCTGAGAAAATATACAGATGAATCTATGGATTGTACTTTAATTTTTTTAGAATTTCTCAACCGTCACAATAGGAGGAATTAATTACATTATAAATTAATTGTATTCCGCATTATAATTGCCTCTATCTATAATTTTTAGGAGAACCGCTACTGGTAGGAATGGACCTGACCATAGCTAGCTTCGACGCGATTTCTGAAGTCAACATGGTAAGAACAATATGAAAATTATTTAAAAAAAAGACAATCGTAAAAAGGAATATAAAGAATACTTTCCAATAGGATTACACGATAACTATGTACCTAAATCAGTACTGGAAGGACGAGAGGCTGGCATTTTCTCAGGAGGAAGAGGTGCTGACCTTGAGTGGCGACTTCGCCGAGAAGATCTGGGTACCGGACACGTTCTTCGCCAACGACAAGAACAGGTATCGAAATAAAGGGACTTACTGCGTGAACAAACTATAATGATTAAACAGCTCCAAAGGATATGACTGACACTATGGGTTTCAGTTTTCTACATGACGTGACTGAGAGAAACAAGCTTGTACGATTATCCGGAGATGGTTCGGTGACCTATGGTATGAGATTTACTACGACTCTAGCATGCATGATGGATTTGCACTACTATCCCCTCGATTCGCAAAATTGCACAGTAGAGATCGAGAGCTGTAAGTATCTTCTCATCTTAATTAATTCTAGAAATATTCTACAGAACCTGTGAGCGTGATTATTAATTTTTAAATGATAATTCAGATGGGTACACGGTATTGGACGTGGTGATGTACTGGAAGGAGACCCCGGTAAGAGGAGTGGAGGAAGCAGAATTACCACAATTCACGATAATCGGCTACGAGACGAATGACAGGAAGGAGAGACTAGCCACCGGGATTTACCAGAGGCTTTCGTTAAGCTTCAAACTACAGAGGAATATTGGATACTTCGTGTTCCAAACGTATCTGCCTAGTATATTAATCGTGATGCTCAGCTGGGTCAGTTTCTGGATCAATCACGAGGCAACGAGTGCCCGAGTTGCGTTAGGTATGACTTTTCTAGACATTCCATACGCCTGTAAATAATATCGAACGCTGCCAAAAAATGTGGAATTATAGAAAATATTGGCTTTCGGATGAAAGAGCTGACTGATTCGCTCCTCTTTTGTTTTATTGATCTTCCATCAAGAAAATATTCGGGAGCACTAAACCGAGTGACAGAACCGTCTTGGCGGAGGAGTCATAGAAACCAAGGAAAAGAAAGCTTCGTTAATGTATGCGGTTGCTTTTGTAATGCATTATTGAAAAATTCAGTACGATCATTCCGAACTTCGATGATAATGGATGGATTTAATGAATTCACGGGTCAAATTAAAGCTTGAACCTTATAATTCGATTCAGTTTCTCTGACCATTCTATCTAGATCGATTCGTAACACCTGTTTAATTAATTGAAATCAATTGTAATTATGGCAATTAATTTCGCAGGTATAACTACCGTTCTGACGATGACAACGATATCGACAGGCGTGCGTAGCTCTCTGCCGAGGATAAGCTACGTAAAAGCGATCGATATTTACCTGGTGATGTGCTTCGTGTTCGTATTCGCCGCGCTGCTGGAATATGCCGCGGTCAATTACACCTACTGGGGAGCTAGGGCCAAGAAGAAGACCAAGAAGAAGGACGGGGACGATAAACGAGTCGTCGCATCTAAAACAGGTAACATCAGATCGAAATTAGCATGGGAATTCATCCACTTTAGAATCTTAAAATATTTAAAACTGTGCCTGTTGCAATGAGATTGATCTCTTCAAATATCAATCCTATGCTTTCGTTCATTCATCTCAGAGTGTATAAACAATTGTTGACCCACGGATCATCCCGCAGGCAGTAAAGCAAGCTCACCTTTTCCTGGCTCGACGGAGGCGGACATAATTGAGTTGCAGGACCTGCGGATGTCACCATTGCCTTCAATTCGGAATCGTTCCAGCCTGCTCGGCGGGTCGACTCCGACAAGTGCTCGGCACGAGCACGATCCTGCCAAGTTCCCTCCTAGCTTCCGAATCTCCAGGGTTGCGGCGTATAACACGTACGGCAGGCACAGCGGGCTCAGATACCGAGGGCCCAAGCACCACAGACCTAAGGTAATTCCGATACGATTTAGGAAATTTCTTATAATCACAGAAATTCATTAATATTTTGTTAGTTTCTTAAGGTCTTTTAAATGGGGCGATTGAAATTGTAGGTGCTACACGCGATTAGAAGAGGTGCGTCGGTGTTGCGAGTATCGATGCCAAAGATCAAAGATGTGAACATAATTGACAAATACTCACGGATAATATTCCCAGTGAGCTTCATGCTGTTCAACGCGATCTACTGGGTGTTCTACTTCCTCTGAACAATTAATTAATCAATTAATTACACGGTTCGCACGTAAGAGATGGAAGATTCCACCTGTTGCTCTCATCTTGATAACCGAACGTGAGGACCAATCGCGAGCAGGGAGCGCCAATAAGATTAATTATATTGATCACGTGAAGATTTCAATTTCAAATCCCCGAAAAGTTTGAAACGTTGAAAAATCGTAGAATAACGAGACTAAAATAAAGAGAATTATATAATGAGGATGGAAATTGTTAAACTAAGAAGGGAACTCGTTAATATGCGAGGGAACCGATGGGAGCAGGTATCGAAAGTACTGAATCGAACGCTGCCAAAGTTAATGATAAATTTTTAAATTAAGAGAATAATATATCTTTTAATGTAAAACCTTCGTTTGCGTCGATGAATATACACAAATAATAGATTCACATTTAAACGCTGGATCAATCATTTGTGTATATTGTATGTAACATGACGATTGAATGTACATAAGATAAATTCTATTTTAGCGGGAATACGTTCCTAATTATTACTTTAAAGGCAAAAGAATAATTGTAAGGAATTAGAAATAAATAAAGAGAAACTAGCAAACCTGAAACACCCAGACTTCAACGTTTCAAATCTCGTATATAATAACGCTTTCGAATTATTGTTTAATTACAAAAAAGGAATAGTATAAATTTCAATTCAATAAACAAATAATTTTTAGACTGTCTGCAATTAAATTTCAAATTTGTGTAGTTGATTAACTAGAACGTTCTATTTAGTTAAAATCGTTTCGATGTTCCTTTTGGATCCTTGCTATTTGTAGTTTCTTCGTTCTCCTCGGCTTCCCGTCTTCTATGTAAACGTTTCCGGTTACTTCTGGCCAATCTATCGTCAGCGAAGAGTCTCGGCTTCCATCTGGGCAATGATTAATGTAATAA